TGTCAAGTGACAATAAAAGTAATGGGAAAAAATTAAGTGGGGAAGAAGGACAGGGAGCCCAGCTCAAGGGAGGAGTGAGGAGGGATGGAGTTTCAAAGTGGGCGATCAGGATGTCCTCCTTAGGAAAAGGACATCCGAGCAGAGACCTGAAGGACGTAGGAGAGTGAGTCAGGCAGTTGGCTGGGCCAGGAGCATTCCAGGGAGCAATTCGTTTTTAGCAATATGATTTTAAAGGATGGCTGGGTTACTTTTGGGAAGGCAGCTCGGCCCAGCATTCCTTGTCACTTTCAATTAACCATGAGTACACCCAACCAGCTCATCAAAGAGAGGTGCCTGTGTTTCTCCCGTCTGGCAGCCAGAGACAGATCCCTTAGCCAGTGCCAACGCTGCCACGCTGAACCCTCCGCTCCAAGCAGCGAAGGCAGCCCCACCTCTTCTCTTGGGCCCTCTGCCGGAGTGATGCGAGTGTAACCCTTACCTCCCTGCCCCAAGCAGCCCCAGCCCCTCCCCACTGAGCATACAGGGGTATTCAAGCTCACTTTTTTGTCTCTGTACCTGGTGAGTTTGGATTCTTCGTGTAAGGGCTCACTCATTTAGAAGCAAAATCACCCACTCTCACAGTCACTGTTAGAACTAAGAATGTAAACTTTATCCAGATTTAGACTATTTAAATTTTGTTGTTGATGTTAAGTCCTCAAAGCTGTCAGATGTTGAGTGAGGGTGTTAACAAAGACGTATATCTATTTGTTAATCATTGTGTATATATTTTTAAAATTACAATGGCATTGCCCTGGCTGTTTTGGCTCAGCGGTTAGAGCATTGGCCGGTGAACCAAAGAGTCTCGGGTTCGATTCTGGTCAAGTGCACATGCCTTGGTTCTGGTTCGCTTCCAGTCGTGGTCAGGTCATGCGGGAGGCAACCAGTCCATGTGTCTCCCTCACGTCGATGTTTTTCTCTCTCTTCTTCCCTTCCACCCTCCCTCTTACTTTATCTGAAGATAAGTGGAAAAAAATATCTTCAGGTGAGGATTTAAAAAAATTTTTTTTAAAATAATTTGAATTATTGTTATTATGCCCAGCCGGTGTGGCTCAGTGGATTGAGAGGTCCCAGTTTGATTCCCAGTCAGGGCATATGCCCGGGTTTCAGGCTCGATCCCCAGTAGGGGGCGTGCAGGAGGCCACCGATTCATGTATCTCTCTCACATGGATGTTTCTCTCTCTTCCTTCCTTTCCCTCTAAAAAAAAACAATAAAAATATATTTAAAAAAAATTACAATGGCATTTATCGTTTCTGATTATCCACTCATGTCCCCACTGATGATTCTCTGACTTTCTACCATGCGTGTTGGCCACAGAGGTCATTTAAGGTCCAGTGACAAGGAGGACACTGTATGCTCCATGAGGGCAAGACTATGTCTGTTTTTCTCACCATCATATCCTCAGTGCCTGGAACGTGGGTGACAACGAATCAATGCTGATGAATAAATGGATGACTCCAAAGATGACAGCTTTGGTACAGAGAGAAAAGGCTGTTATGCTAGCGTGGGAGGGGCAAACACAGAGACCACCATGTCTGAAACAGGAGAGGTAGGACGGAGGAGACACGAGCTGTGATGCCTCTCCCTGTAACGTCTGCAATGATGGGAACCCAAGTGGAGTTAATGCACCAGGTAGGGCAGGAGTGGGGAGACGATGGAGAGAAAATCGCTGGAACAGTGTTTGCCTCCTTCTCCCCCCATAGTTGTTGGGTGGCTTTGGTCAATTTACTTGATCCATTGGAAACTCAGTTTCATCATCTGGAAAATGGGGATAACAATACTGGCTTCACAAGATTGCTACAATAACTAAGATAAGGTATATAAAGCCCTTGGCACAGAAATTACCACCATAAAAAAGTCACCCTCATTTTTTCACTTAACATGTGCACTGAGGGGCAGTGTACACTGTGACTGGATGTGGGGACCTGCAGTGCCTCGGTTTGAATCCCAGGCTTATCACTTAGAGCTGAGTGGTCTTAAGGAAGTTACTGAATTCTTCTGGGCCACAATTTCCTAATTTGTGAAAATCAGGACAACAATGCTTATCTCATAGTGTTGCTCTGAGGATTGAATCAGTAATAAATGTAAACCACTTAGAACCACATCTGGCACACAAACACTGTATGCTAGGCATTTTCATATTTGTTTCCCACTTTGATCCCCTGGGGCTGGCGGAAGCAACGAGAGGATAGACAGGAGCAGACAGGTATGCTGATATGATGACGGAGGAGCTCACGTCGGATGCGCTGGATCCATGTCTCCTTTCAACACTGGTTCTCAAACTCTCGCGTGTATTGGTTTCTCCCTGAGGACGATGGGGGCCCTGCCCTCGGAGCTTCTGATTTGGTAGGTCTGGGTGGGGCTCGAGATTTTGTTTCTAACAAGTTCTCAGATGCTGCTGCTGTTGCTGGTCCACAGACCACACTCTGAGAACCACTGAGATGTAATGAGAAAGGATGAGCTCCAAGAGAGGAGAAAAGGAGGTAGGCACAAAGAGATGGAAGTTCTGGACACTGGTAGAAAAAATAATCTATTTATTTATTCATTCAACATTTACTGACTGCCCGCTGTGAGCAGGACCTTGTATTCACCAATCAGTTTCAAGGACCAAGATTTAACTGAGCAGAAACAACAGTGAGTTGGAGAGAACTATCAATCTATCAAATTAAAACAGAACAGCATTAAAGAAAGAAAAGCATGTCCCCACAGACCTAACTCTACATTGTGTCCCCAAATGGCCTAACTCAGGCATCATTGTTTTATTGTGGTAGAATATACATAACATAAAATTTACCATTTTAATCATTTTAAGTGTACCGTTTGATGGCATTGAGTACATTCGTATTGCTGTTCGACCATAATCACCATTTATCTCCAGAACTTTTTTGTCTTCTCAAACTGAAACTCCATACCTGTTCATCAATAACTTTATTTCCCTCTTTTCCACATGCCCTGGTAACCACCATTTTATTTTCTGTCTCTGTGAATTTGACTATTCTAGGTACCTTATATAAGTGAATCACACAGTATTTGTCCTTTTGTGACTGGCTTCTTTCACGTACCACAATGTCTTCAGGATTCATCCGTTATACATGTATCAGGATCTCCTTCCTTTTAGGAATGAATGGTATTCCGCCGTATGCATATGCCACACTTTGTTTATCCATCTGTCCATCATTGGACATTTGGCGATTGTGAATAATGCTGCAATGAGCATGGGTGTACAAACACCTGTTCAAGTCCCTGCTTCCGACCCTTTTGGGTTTATATCTCTAAGCATCATTTTAAAGCAGAAACATTTTGTTTGAGTGAAGATTAAGATTATATGCCCACATCCTCTCCCCAACTTTTCTTTTCTTAGAACTTTACCCCTCCTGACACTCCAGAACCCAGATCTCTCAGCTGCCCAAATCCAATGAATCATCCACACCTCCAGGTACATTAGCACAACAAGGACAAGGGGAATATACTTTAATGCTCCATGGGCTGGATGCATGCATGAATCTTCCTTTCTCTATAATGAAAAACTTAACTGATGCTCTGTCCGAACACACCTGTGCCCGGAGCACAATTCAATACTCTAAGGAAACAATGTAGGTTTGGGATTCAGACACCTGATAGTGGAACCTGGCTTTATACTAGCTGTTTAGGCAAATAATTTAATTTCTCCAGTTTCAATTTCCTGATCTATAAAATAGGAGTAAAACTAAGATATGGCAAGCTAATTAAATTAAGATAAACCAAGATAAGGTAATAAAGCACTTAACCTAGTGCCTGGCCATGGTAAGTACTAAAAAATAAAATAAAATAAATACGCCTGTCATTAGTATTATTGTGGGGTAACTCCTTCAGATACATGCCAAGAAAGTCCCTGCCTTCTAGGTACATCGAAGGACATTGCAATGAGCATGGACTTACCAGACCCTCTAGGCCAGAAGCCAAGAATTCTAAAAAATGGACATTTTTTTAAAGTCGCAGGATTCAAAATTACATCCTGGCCACAAGGGATTACATGTCTTTGGGTGGGGAAGATATTTTGGGGCAGGGTCTTCTGTGAAGCCTACAGATTGTATCAGAGTCCCCAGCAACCAGCTATGGGTCTAAGTAAACTTTTCTGCGTTTGTAAATACCAAATAGAAATGGATTCCAGAAGAATGGAAATGTGAAATGAGTAATGGTTACAGCCAATTTGGCCAGGCCCCCTCCTAGGATCGCCCCAGTCCTTCTGGGACATGTTCTGACAACTTGCCGGCCTCTTTTTAAACCTCTGAAAGGGGATGATGTTCCCGCCACTTCCCTTGGAAGAATATTCCGCGGTGAAATATGACTCACTGTCAGGCCCTTCCCTTTGAGAGTCCCTTTCTTCTCTTGACCCACTTTCGTGGTGCTGTGCCCTTTTGTACAAAGTCAGACGAAGCCTCCCTTGGAGGAGATTGCTCTGTGAGGACTGACATTTAAAGACCATTACCACCTCTTAAACTCGGTCCTGTTCATTTTAGCCAAGCAAAGCATGTTTAATTCTTTTCATCTTTCCCCATAAATCAATCCCGTCATTCCCTTAATAGTCCTTCTTCGGTGCTTTGAACTCCCTCCAGTCTGGTCACCCTAAGCTCTTGTTCCGTTTACACTTGAGAATTGCTAGTCAATCACAAAATGGCTGTGCAGAAAAAACAACCGGGCCTCGCCCAGGTTCCAATCGCTCTCACCATGCTGACTGTCTGCTGCCTAAAGGCACTGTGAGCCCAGAGAAAAGCCTGGTGGCCAAGCCCGTAAGAGATATTTGAGGCAGTTGCTGTCTGCTCCCTTATGGGTCTTTCCAGTAGACCTGGCCCGCCGGGGGAGTGGTCAAGCGGACTGCACAGGAAGCCACCTCATACACTTGCACCTCTCATTTTACTCAGGCCTCTCGGTTTGTCCTCTTTTCACTTGGCTGCTACCTGGATAAGCCCAGAAAGGGTCTTACCTGGAAGGTCCCAGCATGGTCTTCTTCCTTATCACCCTCTCTGTTTTCTTTGAGGGCAATTAGTGTGAATCCTCTGAAGTAGGAGGGAGGAGCAGCTGAAAGTGTCACTGCGGAGAGAGAAGAAAGCAGATTATAAACACGGGGATCAATTACCTTCTATTTGTCAAGTGGGTAGATGTGAGTTCTCCATCAGCATCTCAGACCTGTGGGTTACAGGGGCAGTGGGCAGTGGGAAATACTCGTCCAGGTAAGTAGTGAACTCTCATTCTCTCCATCCAATTCCTCTTACATTTCATGAACCTGCAGAAGGCCTGAACTGTTATCTCACTTGGGAATTCTTGAACCAAACAAGGCTGTGGTGAATTCTCTCCTAGTAGCTACAATTTGATAAAGATAGTCCCCAGTGAGCAACTCTAATCTTGACAGTTATCTAATGATACACTTCCTTTAGATTGGCCCAAGGGAAATCCAGCTGCTCACAGCACAAACTGGCAGAGACTGTCTTGTGTTCTCCAAAACACATTTCCTTCCTCTTGTGGGCATTCACCTAGGCCACACTGCCAGCCTCCCTTGCAGTTAGGTGGAAAACATGGGCAGACATGATGCATGCTACCTCCAACCTGGCCCATACAAACTTTCCACATGATCCTCTGCTCTTCTCTCCTGCCTCTGTCTGCCAATGCAGGGGATCCGGCAGAGTGCTGCTGTCCCCGGAGAAGGAGCCACAAGATGGAAGGAACCTGGGCTTCTCAGTTACCACAAAGAACCACTCACTGACCAAAGACAATCATAAACTGGAAATAAACTTATATAACGGGGTTTTGTTATAAATTCAAACTTATAAGAATAGAATTATGAATTTACATTATACTCTTCCTTCTCACATTTATCCAGAGAACTATGTTTTCATTGAAATCTAGTTCAAGTGCCTTCTCAGCAATTATGGTCACCCCTCCCTTTGTATACCCAGATCTCCTGAGATGGAAATCTTTTATTGTAATTTTTGCACTGAATTGCAATTTTCTTTGAACTTGTCTTCTTCACTGGATTGTCAGTTCATGCTGAAGAGGAACTGGATTTTAATTATCTTTGTATCCCTATCACCTAGCACAGGACCTGGCATCTAATAGACACTCAATTCAAATTTTAAACTGATATAAACCAAGGTTTAAATTACTGCCTGATCTAAGTGCTAAGATTCTGGTCTTTAAACATGGAATTATAGACTATTAGAGCTTCAAGTTATATCAAGAATTCTCCATTCCAGCCTTCCAACTTTACAGATAGGAAACAAAGACACAGAGAGGTCAACAGCCACCCCCAAGGTGGTAAGACCACCCAGAGGTGGGCTTAGGGCCAAACCGTCTGTCCAGTTTAACATTCCACCCATTGTTGCACATGCTGAGTATATTTATCATAGCATGGGTATTCCACAAGTGTTGATCACATTAAACTTTTTTAAATCAATTCATTTAACATACAATATTTATGCAATTCTGATAAGCAACTCCCTGTTGGGGAGGGACATTTAGTCTTCCAAATGCCTCAAACCAGTTTCAGTCCTGAAAATGAAACACCCACAACTCTAAAAACTAAAACCACCATCTTGGATAATATAGCAGGGGTCCATGAGCCAGTGACACAATGACATCCCAGAGGAGAATGTCTTTGAGACACAACGACTGCAAATCTCATGCTGTGATTGGTCAGCATATCCTGCAAAAGTAAAGGAGCATTCTTATTGGCTACTGATGTCTCTAAAAGGTCAGATAGAAAGTAGGGAAGAAAGCATGAGGGAAAAAAAGCACTATAGCTCTGGCCAGTTTGGCTCAGCAGTTAGAGCACTGACCTGAGGACCAAAGGGTTTAGGGTTCTATTCCTGGTCAAGGACATGTACCTGATCCTTGGCCCCAGTCAGAGTCGTGCGGCAGACAACCAATTGATGTGTGTGTCTCTCTCACATCAATGTCTCTCTCTCTCTCTCTCTCTCTCTCCTTCCATCTCTCTCTCTCCCCTTCTCCCCTCCCTTCCACTCTCTCTGAAAATCAATGGAAAAAATATCCTCAGGTGAGGAGTAACAACAACAACAACAACAAAGTACTATAAAATACAATAAGAAGATTGTGGTGCTCAGCAGTGGCAAGCAAGTTATGATGTCAGAAGAAAGAGCTGAGATCTCTGAGAGACAGACAGACAGCCTTAAGGCAGGCTATGGCTATCTGCAGTGAAGTGGGGGTAGCCTTTAGGGCCACAATTCTGGAGTAAGACAATAAAGGTACTCTGCCCAGACCCCCTCAAAATTCTTTTGACTATTTATTTATTGATTGATCATTAATCCACACCCAAGGATATTTTTCCATTGCTTTTTAGACAGAGTGGAAGAGAGAGAGAGAGAGAGAGAGAGAGAGAGAGAGAGAGAGAGAGAAAGAGAGATATTATTGTGAGAAAGATACCTTGATTGGTTGCCTCCCACACAACCAGGGCCAGGGATCAAACCCAGGTACATGCCCTTTCCCGGGAATGAAAACTGTAACCCTTCAGTCTGTGGGCCGACACTCTAACTGCTGAGCCAAACCAACCAGGGCTCCTTTTGACTATTTAAAGTGCCCCTGATGCTGATATGTCTTTGCTTCTAGTGGCCAACACACTTGTGGCCCTCGGGTCACTGCAGCCTGCTCTGCCCAATATGAAAGTCCCAGTTTCCTGCACCAGGAAGACAACTCTGAGGGGTACCTGCCACTCCAAAATGGCCTTCTAAGATCAGACTGAAACTCTCCTTAGGGACCTCCCCTGGGGTCACAGCCTGTCAGGGTCTCTTCCCTCTGTTTTGATTCTCCACCCCCTTACTGGTTTCCCCTGGGAGCACTTCCTTAATAAGTCACTTGAATCCAAATCCTCACCTGATAATTTGTCTTATGGGTTAAACTGTGTCCTCCAAAAATATATGTTGTGATCCTAGGCCCTGTGTCTGGAAATGTGACCTTATTTGGAAATAGTGTCTTTGCAAATGTATTTAGTTAAGATGAGATCATACTGGATTTGAGTGGGCTCTAAATCCAATATGATTGGTGTCCTTAGAAGTAGAGACATGGTGACACACCGGGAAGAATGCCAGATGACGACAGAAGCAGAGATTGGAGTGATGCCTCTACAAGTCAAGGAACAGCAAGGATTGTCACCAGAAGCTAGGAGAACCACAGAAAATGCTGCCTCTGAGCCTCCAGAAAGAAACCAACTCTGCTGATACCTTGGTTTCAGAGTTTTAACTTCCAGAAATGTGAGGGAAGACACTTCTGATGTGATAAGCCTCTGGTTTGGGGTACTGTGTGGCAGCCTCAGGAAATGAATACAGTCTGCTTCTGGGGAACCCAACCTAAGGCAGACAGTCAACCTGTGCTCACAGCCACTGGCTTCCACATTAAACTTAAACTCCATCGACTAACAGGCCCTCAGCCTCTGCCTCCGCAGCTTCACCAACCACACTCCCATTCCTGTCACCTACATTCCAGCCCTGGGACTCCCTCACTGGGTTTCCTAGAAAACTTTATCTCTTCATCCTGCAGTATTTTTTCTCCACAAGCTCCTCATATGCTTGGAATGTTCCACCTCCTCCATTCCTAACAAACTTCTTTAATCAGCTAAATTTTCACCTTTGTGCGATGTGTCCTCTGATTTCCCTTGTTAAGATTAAAAATACCTATACAATGGACATAATAACAGCACCTACCTTGGAGTATCAGTGTGAAGCATACGTGAATTAATACATGCAAAGTCCTTAAAATCATGCTTGCAAACAATAGGCACTTAATAAACATTATCTCTTATTATTATCGGTGATGAGTTGATCCCATTAATTCTATTTCGTGTATAAGTATTTTTTACCCATTTGTAAGTCCTTCAAAGAAGAGAACCATATTGGAGCTTAGTATTGTGGTTAGCACAGAGCTGCTGTGCAATTAAATCTGCTGAATTGTGTTCATGGATTGGTAGATGCACTATTACAAAGATGTCAGTTCTTCTCAAAATGATTCATAGATTTAGTGCAATCTAAATGAAAACTCCAGCGTGATTTTATGATATTGAGAAGCTAATTCTAAAATTTATATGAAAATGCAAAGGGCCAAGAATATCTTAGGTGACTGAGAAAGGATAAAGTTGGAGGGTTTATATTACCAGATATCAAGACGTATACATCTACAGAGATTAAGCCAATGTACTAAAGGAAGGGGAAAAAATAGGGCAATTGAATAGTTTGTGGTCCAGAAAAGGTTTCACAAATATATGGAAACTTGACTTAAGATAAAAGACATACTTTAGAGTAGTGAGAGAAAGACAATATTTTCAATAAATGGTGCTTGGACAGCTGGTTAACCACATAGAAAAAGGTCAGTCATGGCCTTTATATCACATCATTCACAAAATAAATGTGAATAAAGTGAAAAATAAAACAATAAAGTTTTTAGAAGGTAGCAAAATATAAAATGTGAATGACCTTGGAATCAGAAAAAAATGTTAAAACTGGACATAAAAAAGCACTGATAATAAATGAGAGGCTATATAAAGGGGATGATATTAAAATTGTATTCATCAACAACAACAAAAGATACTGCCCTGACCAGTGTGGCTCAGTTGATTGGAACTTCATCCTGTACACCAGAAAGTGATGGATTTAACTCCTGGTCAGGGCACATACCCAGGTTGTGGGTCTGATCCCCAGTCAGGGTACCTGCAAGAGACAACCAACCGTGTTTCTCTTTCACATGGATGTTTCTCTCTCTTTCTCTCAACCCCTCTCCTTTCTCTCTCTCTAAAATCAATTTTTAAAAAAACAAACATATCCTCAGGTGAGGATTTCAAAAAAAAGGACACCATTAGGAAAAAGTAAGTCACAGTATAGAAGATATTATTAATCCATATAACCAACAATAGACTTTTATCCAAAATATATAAAGAAGTCTTTCAGATCAATTAAAAAAATAAAATAAAATAAACAACCCAATAGAGAAAAATAGGCAAAACACATGAGCTGCTACTTCACAAAAGAAGGTACTCAAAGCCAATAGACATATGAAAATGTGCTCGACCTCATTAGTCCACAGGGAAATAA